ACAATGCAACAATCTGGAAAAATCATTTGTATAGTACAGCCAAACAAAGTAACATCCACACCAGTTTATTTCCACTTCAATTGGATTTTAAGTCACTACTAACTTTCTTTTTCTCAACTTGCAAAGTTGATATGGAGTGCACATATATCAAGAGGTTATGGTGAGATTATGTTTGTGTTGTACCAATAGTCTTTTTTTCCATTTTGAATTACCTGGGGTTTGGTTCCTCCTTCCGGGTGGCAAAAGTTTTAGCTAAGGTCTGAGGCCTTCAATATACTGCAGCCAGCCTCATCGGACTTAACCACATGCTGCTTTGCCATAGGGGTGTTTGGGGGTTATTTAGTGTATTTCTGTTAGTTTGAAATCGAGCAGCCATTTGGTTTACCCCGTTTGTTATGTAATTAAACCAGTATTCCAGTTCCCCTAATGGAATTCTTGTTTTCTAAATTACACCCTCCAAAAACTCTCCTTGTCCCTTTGTAACAAGATAAGTTGACATTGTCTTCATGTTATGTGTAAGATGTTCTATTTCTAAAATGTTTAGACTCAGACAAAACATCATATCAAGTACTAGATCAATATTGTAAGAGCATAGTCTTCCATTCATCTTCCCTGAAATCAAACCACTTTTTCTGTCTTCGCTCAGCAGTACGGCCCTGGTCATTATAACATTAAAGCAGAAGACCTCTTCACTTTTCCTCAGTGTCCCCTTCTGAACGAAAATATTATGTGTACTGCTAATGGAGCAGCAGAACTACAGGCGTTTTACGGTTCATTTGAGTGTGTGGTTATGATGCAAACTATTTTTTTATCCTTATAGATTCTATTCTTATATGCTATCACTTCAAAGTCTATAATGAACTTATTTTAACAGTCTTTCAGGTAGAACTTGCACGTGTGAATCACCTCCAGAAGACCATAGCCATAAGGTTCTGACGCGTGTGTGCAGGTGGTGGAACGCCTGCGTTCCCCTTAAACCGGGACATCACTTTCTGCCTCCTGATCCGTTTGAATGTTTGGGAAAAAAGCAGCCAGTGAGCCCCAGTGTTGGGATTGCTGGAGTTTGTTGGTGTGTTACAAACAGGGACACAGCATCTCCTGCTTTTGCTGATCGGGCCGATCCGAGACACCAGCCACAGAGATGGATCCAGCACAGCATGAGCCTGAAGCCCTGGGCTAAGCATGCAAGGGCAGACAGTGGTATTTCATTCTCAGGAAGCCTTACAGAGCAAATTTATGTCTTTCTCCGGAGAAGCCACAATAAAGTGCCGCAGGGCACCAAATGGGAAAAACAACTGGGGGAGCAAGAGCAGAGAACTTCTAACATTATTTATAGTTATATGGATAGTAGTTAGTACCTCCCGCTATTGTCTGGGGGGAATCGATCATAGCTCACTTTAACAACTACATCAGCCTTTTTTCTCACAGCAGTTTGTGACACAAAAAAGCTCCGGAAAATGTTTTTTTTTATCCATGACAGTGCAAACGAGATGCAGATAACGGACAATTGAATCCATATTACCCTGGACCGTTTGATCTGATATGCTGTAATATATTTCTCATGCAGTAGGCCTCTCTACAGGGATATACAATTCTAAAAGAAGTGCACAGGATTGTTTTTTGAAGGATTTGTTGAAAATATTGTTCATGTCTAAGAAAAGGTTTTTAGTGTTATTGACTTTTATGTGTTGCGGTCCATGGTGCAGTTTTGCTAATCTGGCATTTTTAATAGCACAATCGTGCTTTCAAACTCTAATAGATGTAATTCAACGCCTTTCCAACAACAAATAAACACATTTGTTTGAGGCGGTTAAATATTGCGTGTTGGGACTAGAAAAATGAACAAAAGCAGGCCACAAAAATGGAGGACAATCTGGAACATGTGTCACTTTGCCACTGATTAAAACAGTACTGCACATGCTTTCATTTCTAAGCGTGTCAGTCAAACAGACAAAACAAGCTTGACAAGGGGAGCTTATAATCCATCTAGTCATAAAAGTCTTCCTCGAGTGTCACGAGCGAGGGGGTTGAAGTGTTCAGGGAAGCTTTGATTTTTTTATTAGGCAACACTGCCTCCTCCTGGATGCCCACTGCTCTCTGTCACACCAGGTAAGCTGTAGGTAGCCAGTAAATCCTGCTATTTTGTTGATAATCTTTTAACTTGTGGTTTAATTTCTCTGATTATCATACTTCTCGGCCATTTTCTTGCAGATAAGCTGGTTCAGGCGAAGTGAGAGTTCAGGCTCACTTGGAACAAGTCAGAGAAATCTTTGCAACTTATCAATTTGATTTGTGTAAAATGAATATAATCTTATATTGCATGCTTATAATACTTCCTGATGCATCTCTGGAGAATAGATTATGGACCTCAGATCCGTAATGTGTGGCTGCATGTTTTTTCTTTTTAGTTTTCGACATCTGTATGTGCAACCGTCTACAATTCAGTTAAAATCAAGCACAGATGTCCGTGAGAAACAGCGGCCATGATAAATAGACAACATGCTGACTTTTAGTTTTGTAATGCTATGTTCACACTGATGTAAAAGACTCAACAACAGAAAATATCATGGTTTCTATTAGTTTCCCCCTCTGAGACAAATTGTGCACAGATGCTTTATATTGCATCTGTCATGTACAATCTCCATGCTTGACAGTGATGGGTGAAATACAGCATTAACAGTAGGCTGTCTTTCAGTGCTAATATAAGAAACAGTCGCAGGACAATATTAGATTTTTATGAGAGAGAAAGGGGTGAGGGAGGAAGTGTCAAGCTACTCTGACTAGATGCCTTAAAAGGATTAATCTCGGGGATCTCCAGGAAAGTTTCAGTTCACGGACATTAAACTACACAAGCTGAACGCTTAGCTTACTTCTACACGAATAAACAAGGCTCAAATTTGAATGAAAAAGTTGACCCATGCTGTAACTTTGCCAGAGCAGTCACATTTATTGTTGATCTATTGCTGATCAACAATAAATGTTCTACTCCCAAACAAGTGACACATTATTTGTCTCAATTTAACAATCTATTAAAAATACTTTGTCAGTCAACTGCTTAGTCACACTAAAGAATTATATACCACACAGAGTTATGTAACACACTTAAATCCATTAAGAACAAATCAGGGCTTCCAGGTGGATGCTCAATTAATCAAATTGAATTAAAACATTATGGCCTTAAAAGTAGAAACAACAAGATTGTGAAAGACCAGATTTAAAACAGATGGTGCAGTTTGTTTTGAATCTGGCCTTGTACCTGTCCACCATAGGAAAACTCTGACATCTTGCACGAGACAATTTTATTTTTTGTTCCTAAACAAGGTCAACGCATTCAGCAAGCTGATGTTACGGATGGAGGACCCATGATGCGAGCCAGAGGTGAAGAGCGCAGCTACATCTTCAGCATGACGACATTACAGCCATGAATATCTTTGTTCTGGAAATGATTGCTTAAAGCCAGGATTTTTCTTTGTGATGTCATTCAGAAAAAGCCACTTTCATCCGTAGGCACTAATTCAAAGAAGACTGAACGTTACTGTGTCCAAATATTAAAAAGAAACAATGCAAAAAAAAAAAATCCAATCACCATCAGATAGCAGTCCCGATCCTGAAATGATGCGCCCTGCGTCACATGAAAATGCAGCGCTCTGTCATTACAGGAGCTCTTTGTGACTCAACCATTTCATATGTAGATTCTGTGCCTCTGATTTCTTTTGATTCAGCTCTCCCCGTTAGCGTTGGGTTAGATTATGTGTACATGAGGGCTGTTGAGGTGTAATTGCCTTTGGGGGCTAATTGTCTCGGGCTTTTCTTGTTTTTTGGAAGCACCTGCGCAAGGATCAAAGCATGTGGTGTGTGTGTCAAGCTTTGTTTCAAGTGGGTGTCCTTCCAGCACAGATTGTCAAGTAATTGCCTCTTTAGAAATTTCTATGGCTGCAGTGTTGGAGAAAGAGCTCACCTTTCATTAAAACTGAGCATTTAAATGGCTAAGTAAGTAAAGATCATGAAAAGGTTTAATAACACTGTAATTATCTCAGGGGGACAGAAAATAGATTCTCCCACTGACACGACGAAAAAAAGCTATAAATATTGACACGAATTGTTCATTTTCATAGGTCAGGTTATGATTTGAAACCTCATTCATACACATGGTAGGACATTTAGATTCTCACACATCCTTCTAAACTCTTAGATTCATTCAGTTTGAATTCTGACCATCACTGATGGAGCCTAACTTGCAGACCTTTGCACATTAGTCCATTTGTCACATCTTTATTTGCACTTTTTCCATCCAATCTCATCAAACTCTGCCTTTGGAGGTCACATTTGAGTTGTCTCCTTTAATAAACGTAGAACCGGAACAGACCAAGTTAACAGACAAAGCAATAAAATCTTCAAAGTAAAGGGATATATTTGCAAAGCATCGCTCAAAGACCCGGCCGGCGCCCGTCTGTCCGGTCCTCCCCGCGGGGATTTCAAAGAAGTGTGTGTACATCACAAGGTGACAAATGAGCAAAAGGAGAATATTATTAGTCCGGCCGCAATTCAGAAGTCTAATAAAGATGGAAATGAAAGATACCAATTCGTTATACAAACTTTAGATCTGTAACGTTATGTAACATGTTTCCTTTATGTTTCCTTTCCCTGTAAACCACTGCCAGAAAACCTTTGGATGGCACAAATAAGGGATAGAAATCTATTATAAACAATAGTATCTCAGTCAAAATTCTGCATGCAATTAAAAAAATGTATATACGGTTAGAACATCTATAAATGCTGCATGGTGACACATATGGAACTTCTGAAAAGGAGACAAGTGCATAATCAGGACTGGGGGGAGGGTTCTCCTAAGGCAGGCTGTTTGGGGATATAAATACAGCCAGCGGGAAGCTGAAAGTGACAGTCAAATCCTCACTCACAGCCCTTTAAAGTGCGCTTTATCAAAAGATTTTGCTGATTTTTTTTCCAACCAGACAGAAATTTTTTGCCCACACCACAAAATGGATAACTGGAAGATCCAGCTGGTTTTTGTGACTTTTTGTGCACTGGTGCAGACCTATCATGGATTATCTTTCAGCACAGAGGAGGAAGGAGGGCTGACAAAAGACTGGCAGGTAAGGCATGGATTTGTTTATTCTAATTCTATGGACATGATCTTAAAAAATTGGGAACTTCTGAAAAATAAAATCTCTATCCAGGTTGCCAAATAAAAATTAATAAAAATGCCACGTTCTTTTTCCCTGACAGACTGAATCAGTGGACCGGGGTCTGAGCGACCCATTAGACAGTCTGATGAAAAGATCTAAGGCCCTTCGCTTTTATGGACTCATGGGGAAGCGCGCAGGTAGCCTGTAAAAAAAATCCCTGCTCATGAGGCCCATGAGCATCATTTCAGCCATTTGTAGTATTCAGACGGATGGGCAAATGATTCTGGACTGTTTTATCCCCTCACAGCTACCAGGAAACCATTCCCAGTAAACAGACGTGAGTGACTTTACTACACCCTCAACTGGCCGAAATTACACAGAAATGTTCTGTTTTCTGTCGTTTGCTGAAAATAAACCCATTTCAGGCTAACTTACATCCTCACGTGTGCTTGTGTGTGTAGGAAATAAAGGAGGAGTGTTTGTGGGCTTGATGGGAAGGAGCACTTCCAGCGGGGGTGAGCCACAAAACCCAGACAAATGTTTTGAAAATATCAAGCCGGCTTTATTGATATCAAAATATCAAATCGCTAAAGCACATATAACAGGTGTTTTGTTTTTTTAAATCAAAGAAGGCAAAGACTGTCCCACTGAAATGTTTTTCTGTTTATTACAGAGTCTTTAAGCAGTGCGATGTCATCTGCAACAACCACTGAGATCCATGTTTCCGAGAAACCATACAAGCAGGGTATGATTGTATCAGTACAAAAACCTGAGGCTGGGTTACTTCTTTGTGCACCCTTACAGTGGTATTGTCATTTCATTTTCTAGTCTAAGCAAATTAAAAATATCTGAGCTTATTTTTCAATTATTTGGCAGGTTCACCAGAGGAATGGGTACAAATGCTGTACTAATGGACCTACAAAAAAACAAAAAAAGACAGATCATCTATACAACTTTACATCAACCAAAGAAGACATTACCACAAATATTTTTTTTCTCCTAAAAAATATATATGTATGTACCCTGGTCAGTTACAGCTCATGCCAACAATTGTGTTTATCCCAAACAGGAACAACTACCACCTTCATAAAGCACATCGCTAGAGGAAATAAAAATGACCTGTAAATGCTGCCCAATGTAGGCGTGCATTTAATGCAACTGCAAAGCAAACCCCCCCCCCCCCGCCCCGTTTTTAGCCGTCACACATTCAGAGCCCAGCACAAGAAGGCGGCTTGAAAACTTAACTGAATCTTTGCCTTTAAGTGTTCAGAAGATCACTCCACTTTAAAAGCACAATGCCGAGAAATACGAATGAAAGTAAAATATAAAAGTTAGTACATTTTTCCTTAAAAAGTGTTGTGACAAAGGTATGCAGAAATGAACTGGATAAAAATGCAAAAAAATAAAAAAATAGAGAACACTGATATTTACTGACAGGTCAGAAGTCTAGGCTACTTGTGGCTTGTTAGGCTGGAGGTGATGTTTTTTTTTCTTTTTTCAGTAGCCTGAGGATCTTTAGTGCTTATGTCCCTTTGGGAGGGGTCCATTTTAGTGAGCTGGGGTCTATCGTTTTGTTGCTATTACCCCGTTTGATCTCCTTCGCTTTCCACTCATCAATCAGGTCCTAAGATGGAGAAAAGGGCGGTTATTAAAACAGGAATTAGTGAAAGAGATCGCTTGAGGGAAGGACAATCCCATTGAGGGAAGGAAATCCCAAATAGGAATTGTAATGACAACTGCAATGTACAAAGTCCACAGGCCCGTCTTACCTGTCGCTTAAGTACTAAGTGCTTTCCCTTCCAATATTTCAGCATCTGAAGGGACTGCAGGGTGCTCACAATGTCCACCGGATTGACCGCAGTTTCCTGACTGATCTCTGCACATCAAGCAAGCATCGAAACAGTGATATTGATTAATGTGTCTAATATCTTTAATAAACATAAATCTAAACATAAAGTATGGTGTGAAGTCTCTTTATACAGACAGCAAACCGGTTTGAAGAGGAAACTAGCACAGGTGTTCTCTCCATTCACCTTTGATGGAAATCTCTTTGCCTTGAAAGTTGTGCATGTATCTGAGTAACACTTCCTTCCAGTAGCTTCGGTAGCTGATGAGGCCCAGATCGGACAGGGGTCTTTCTGGTGAGCCCACCTTTTCCTCCACTTTGGACAGCAGGTAACCTTAAAGATAAAAGAGGACAGTCGGTTACGGTGCAGATAAAGACCGACAAATAAAAGACTGTTAGTAGTCTTTTCTTAAGCAGAGGTTTCACACCGATCCCAAAGAATCAAAGACTTTTCTTTTCCTTCTGTGTAATGTTTTTAAACCGTTTTTTTTATTTTTTTATGCAAAAGCAGGTTTTTGCCATTCTTTTTCTTTTTGAGAACTGTGTGATCCACTGAGGAAAAAATAAATATAAAGTCAACGTGCAAATGAACATAGACGAAGAACAAAATTATCTAATATTTACTGCATAGATAACTTGAAAAATTGCCATCTCTTGACAAAGTAATGGAGAATTAAGAGAGAAAAACCTGAAAACATGTACATACTGAAGTCAATGAGCATCTTGCCAAAGCCCTGTCGCATGTACTGTGGCATTGTCAGGATACAGGAAACATTGTAGTTCAGGAAGGAATTTTTCTCCTGGATGTGACAAAAGAGACAATATTTCAAACACTTTTGTAGAATTCAAATAAATAAATAAATCACATTTTAAATGTAGATTGAATTTAGAAGCTATCTTCTATTCAAACCTTGGAAAAATATCCCACTAAATGACATCCTGTGTTGTCGGCTTCGGTCATGACGTAGAAGAGAAAAGGCTCCACGTCGTAGTAAAGCGTTTTGTGGTCCAGGAAAAGCTTGGCAAGTAAACACAAATTCTGGCAATAGATCTGGGGATTTTAAAAAATGACGTTAAAGTCACTTATCTAACCCTTTTATCAATAAAACATGGTTATAAATAGACATTGTAAATCTCCCCACCTTATTCTTTTTGCCATCTACTTCAAACACAGATATAGAGCCCTTTCTGTACACCTCGTCTCCTGGGGGATGCTTCCACACACACTTTGCCTGACAGAAAAAGATAAATAACACAAGACGTGTTAAACACATTCATCTGTAACTATATAAAATGTCCAATGTGTTCATTATCATTTGTCCCAGTGGACGTCCTCACCATGTGCCGCCTGAGGATGGTTTGGCTCTTCATGTACTTTAGGCAGAACTCGCACACGTACAGACGACCCAGCCGTGCGTACTCCTCGGGATAGGGCGAGTGGTACCAGGTGTCCAGCTCGTAGCGGCCGAACACGATGGTCTTGATCATGTTACTGCCTTCGGTGATCTGACCCTGGATACGCAGCTTCTCCTGGAAGAGGGGAGGCGCTATGTCACAGGGGGGTTTCTGCCCGAGAAGATGTGGCCACTAGGTGTTGGAGCGTGATACATCAAGTAAAATCCAACAGAAAACTGGGGACGACAACACTGTGAAACGGCACAGTACCAGGTCTTCGGACGCACGGGCCTGAGCCTTCCTGAACAACTCCAGGTCATAGTCGCTGGTGATGTTCTCCAGCAGAGGCTCTCTGGTGTTGCCATGCGTCTGCCGATGCTCCTGAGGATCAAACATTACCACCAACTACACTTAGACAAAGCACCAGCTGTGAAACGCTATAAATTCTAAGCACGGACACAACAGGAGCACGATAACACACTGAGGGGGGTTAGGAGGAGACGTACCATGTGCTTTTCTTTCTGCTCCTTCTGCAGCCCAGAATTCCGACCCTTCCTCATCTCCACCACCTGCTCCTTGTATCTGCTCTGTTTTGGCGTCGGCGTCTGGAAAAGCAAAGTAAAAATGAACGTGTCACTTCGGTTATGTAATTCAAAGTAAAGCCTAGAATTTTGTGCTACATAAATGGCCCAGACTCAGTAATGTTAGCCCTACATTTTACAATCAGACTGATCTCTGGCCAGAAATCTGAGTGACATCAGAGTACATTATGATGGCCATCACTCCTCCTCACACCACAACCACTGTGTCTTCAACCAAACGCACTCTGAGTAGCAGCCTCAGCCTCTAACCAACTGCACCAATAAAAGGAGGATGTGATGCAAACCCTGGTTCGGGTAGGGGGGGGCAACGAAAGTATATAGATTCATCAAACAAACAGCAGACAAAGCGCTAAACCGCCAACCCAAATCAGCCACTGCTAGAAAAATATACAACACAAATAAAGATGCCTTTACGTAGCAGCTTTAAGACTAAACAAACGGCATGTGATGGAATCCTTAAACACACAAACGCACCTGGTGACGAGTGGCGTGCCGCGCACTGCTCTCTTCCTGAGCCTTCACCTCCTCTTCCTGCTTCTCACGGCTGATGGCTTTCACCTGAAAAGAAAAAATAATATTGTTAATAATTGTTAAAAATTGTTAAAAATAATATATCTGTATTCAAGATTGACCAAAACATGTAACAAAAATGAAGTTATATGGTGAAGTATTGCAGGATCTTGTAATGTGGGTAGTCCTTTAATTTATATGTCCTTTTATTTACATTCAAGAATCCAAGTGAAATTTTTATTTGACCAACCTTGCACTCATCTGCAGAAAGATTGTGGTAAAGAGGGCACCCTGATACAGCAAAGTGGCGCTCGTGTTTTCCTGTGAGATGACCTAAACAATTGATAGAAGCATTATCACAAGCGTGCAGGAAAAAACTGAAGACAAGTCACATACCATGTAAAAAAAATTGATGTAAGAAAAAGGCAATTTACCGAGAGAATTACATCCAGGGGTTGGGCATTTCATGTTGAAATTATAGGTTTCGTGACATCGGCGGCGTTTGGGTCTGTGGGACAGGTCTTTGTCCGAGTCTCTGCTGGCCTGGTCTTTAGCTTGGCTCTCGTCGTGAGAGGCATTGGGGCTGGATATGTCCAGCTCAGATTCAGAGGAAGGTGCATTTCCTGTGGGTGTCAGTGGTGGAGACTCATCATGGTCCGCAGCTCGCTTCAAGTCTGGTGTATCTGATGAGGGAAAAAAAACATAAACGTTGATATAGATATATATGTACAGCTGAATTCAAGCTGAAACGTGAATTCGAAAGAAGTTTTATGTGGATTTGCTGAGGTACCCTGAGAGCTCTGGCTAAGGCGAGTAGAAGCTCTGGTCAGACGCTGTCTCTTGGACATGTTCCCATCACTCTCTGAGCTGTTGGTCTGCTCTCTTTCGGCAGAAGAGTCAGAGTCTTCGGTTCCATCTGAGCCGCTGCCGGTCATAGGTCTCTGCCAAGAGGGGAGTAAATTAAGTTAGAATAAACCGAGCAAAATAACAGACACACACTGTCAATGACCACAATGAAACCCAGTATTCTTTAGCACAATTACTTAAACAAGAAGGCTTTCTGAGCAGTTGTTCAGTAGTTAGCCGTTTTCCCTCTGGTTTCATTAGATTAGCTGCTTTAACAGAGGCACAGTAACCTGACAGTTTGCTGTCTGTTTTTTTTTTCCATCTAAACACCTGACAAACATTTTAAAAATGCATTTTTGGTGTAGAAAAAAAATCTAACATTGCTACTTTGTGTTAGAAGTAGTTTACAGTGCATGTAAGTTAGCTAGCTTTGTAAACTACTCAACGTGTAACTCTTGTTACCAGACTTCATTAAAGAATGTAGCACTCTAAGAAATATGAGTTCCTAACAAACGTGCCACTTTTGCATTTCTGAACAAGACTGACCATGGTCAGATATCATAAAACCCTGCTTATTCCGGCATTCATTTAATGCCCAATGGTTGACTACATTTTTTATTAAACCAAAGCAAAGTTTTTTTCTGTGATGTGTCTGCTAATAGACACCTAGCATTGTTGGGTCTGAAAACGTTGCCCAAAGACTGTCATGTAAACATGTTAAGACCATCAATAAGACGTTTAAATGCCTCGAGGAGAAAGATAAAATAAAAAGGCTTTCTGCAAGCGAAATCGTCGGGTAACTAATGAATGGGTTGCAGTGGAACCTTCTAGCTAGTCGTCAAAAGAATGGCTCACATCGGTGCTAACTCGGCTAAGGCTACCCTCTTGTGCGACCTATATTTGTTCTTACCTGTCGTCTACGAGGCATGTTCGTCTTGATAACTGCTATTTCACGTGATCCTGGAGTATCAAACCCCGAACACTGGAGAAATTAAGATAGTGAACCGCCAAAGTCACTACTTAATGATTTTTTTCTTGAATTTGTTTGTGTGTACACAGGATTTGCCGGGGTGTCTCGCGCCACATTCCGCGTACCGACAGGGAGGGGAATTGCATTTCCGGTAATATGGACCTCCAGTCCACCAGGGGGACTCAAACCCCTCTTTGCCCCAAAGCAAACGGTAATAATGAGAGTCAGAACGCGGTTATTGACCAAGTATATTTTAGATACAAGGGATTTCACGTGGTTGCTGTTCATAACATGCAACATATACAGATCATTTAAAAGCAAAAGTTTTAATATACAGAATTAAAGCAAAGATTAGTGTAAGTGTGACAATGCTGACTAAAACTGAATTTACAATAAGTTAGAACAGTGGAACTATAATAATGCAATTGCAATAAATAGAGTTGTTTCAAGATTTGTTTTCCCCCAAGTTTTGACATTATTCTCAGTATTGAAGGGAATGCAATTAATAACATTAAGAGCCTATTAAAAACAAATAGAACTAGAACGGACCATTTACAGAACAGAAAAGTTAATAGAAAAGAAGAGTTTTAAAAAGTATGGTCAAAAGCATGTCACGAACAAACGGGAATTAGAGTAAGTCTATTTCAATGACATTCACAACGATAATCAGTCATTATTGTCTTTTATTAAATGCAAACCATTTAGAAACTAGCCAGATATTTTACTGTTCTGATTTTCTTTTGTGTGAACGTTTTTTTCATTAATGTTTCTTATGATTTTTTTTTTCAGGATGGAGGAGTGTTGTGCTGTGTTCATCAGGGCTAAAACAAATGTTTTAAACATTGATGGTTAATACTAAGGTACCTACAAGACCAATACACTTAATGAGAAGTTCACATGAGAAGTACAAAATGTTAAAAAATAAAAACAGTGTTATGTGCAAATTCTACTTATTGCTAAAAATAAAAGGTCAAAATAATAATTATTTTTATATCTAATCATTTTTGTTATGCTTTGCTTTCAATCCTGAAGCTGTTTAGCCCCACCCCCACCGCCACCCAGTCAGGCACCCAGTCATTTGGTGGTTTAAGTGTTGCAGAACACAGAAGATGCATCTCTTTTCCCGACTGTTCCACGGACAGCCTATAAAGGGCAGAGAGGGGGCCTGACAGGCTGATACCAGCCGCTATATATAGCTTCCTGGGCCTGGACATTGCTTTACAGCAAACAGCTGAACAAAGAAGCCACATGCTCAGAACTTCCCTGTGACTGCAATCTCTCTTTGACTTTATATCACAAATCAGAATGAACAAACCCAAAATCAACAGACCAGAGGACTGGTAAGTGTTGCCTGTCTTGCTCTTTGGGGTATCTGAGTAACCATTGTCATTTATGCTTTTTGCTAAAAGCTTCTTCTCACTTTTAAATTGTTCTTGGCATTCCATAATCTGTGTCTCAACAGCCAGCCAGCACACGCGCTGTGGTTTGACAGAAAGAAATACGTCACTGTTAACTTCATGGTTCAGAAACCTAAGGATGTCCAGGTGGATATCCAGCCAGACAAAATGATTATATGGTAAATTTAGAGAAATCCCATGACTAAATATTTGATGTAATGTCATATACGTACTCATTTTCTGACAACCCTTTTTCTGTGCGTGAAACAGCTGCAAAAACGACACAGATGATGTCTTCTACAACGAGCTGCACTTCTTCGACACAGTACAGATCAACGTGAGCACCTATTTTTTGTGGATCTTTTTGTTCGATGACAGATTGCATGTGTTGCACACTAAATTGGGCAGCTGCACAGAAATGTTTAACATATACCTTTTAAACCCGTCGTCACGTTCAAGGACTCAAGACACAGAGTCTACGATCGCACCATCAACATGCTGCTGAGGAAGATGAAGCCAGATTATGCGTGGCCTCGTCTCCAGAAGGATCCAGCGAGGGTAGGTGTGTGCCGGATGAGTGTGTTTGTGTGGCCACAAGCTCACTCAAAAACACAGTCCCAAGTTCCTCCACATTCCCGGACGAAGACATGGAGTCGTTTAACTTTATAGTCACATTAAAGGTTGGGATTTCACACTGACTTGTTCTTCTTTCTGCAGCCCAGTTGGATCTCTGTGGACTTTGATAACTGGAGAGACTGGGAGCATGAGGAAGATGAGGGAAAGGAAGAGTTCGACAGATACATGGACGTGAGTGGCCAGTGTGTTCCTGTTTCTCATCGCAGTGCTTGCACTCTACAGAATATCTCTTGATATTTTCCGTTGTGCTCGGATTTTCCTCGCAAAGCTTTGCACACGTGAACACTTGTTTTTGCTTTTTCAGATGATCCAAGAAATGTCCAGCAATAACAAAGGAGCGACGCCAGACATGGGCGATCTAAGTGATGTAAGTGCCGAGTTCTGGTGGGGGAGGTCTTCACTTTTAAAAGATAATCCGTCCGTAAAATTAAATGAAATTCTTTCCAGTTACAGGTGCATGAAAAACATTTTGTGAAATTGAATGAAAATACATTAATTTAGTCATTATGCAGACATGGACACTGATTTTTGTTGATTTCCTTCTTTTTCAGTCTGACTGATACGTGTGTTTGGAAGGAGAAACCACCCAAAGTCAAAGGATTCAGAAAGAAGTGCTGACTTAGGGGAAATTTTCTTTGAAATGTGTTATTGTCCTAATTCTGTTTTTACATTTGTCATATTATAATATATTTTATATTTGTTTATTTTTGTATGTATGTATTGCAAATCAAGGATTGTCAGTTGAATAAAATACATTTACCCAAATAAACTGATAAGGTGTTGGGGTGATATACACACTGGATTAATATCCTCAAACAAATCTTTATGTTTTAAATTACACACTCATTCCAATAGTCAGGTTTCTTATTTGATAGTTATGGGATTCAAGTATGTCATCAAAGTAACATTATCAGTCTTTTTTGTGTGTTTTCTGTCATTTTTTAAATTCAGATTGTCTCAGACAGCTTTCTCAATCTATGTAATGTTTGTACACTCACTCATGACCATGACTTGTTCATAACACAGACAGAAAATGGATATATGGATGGTTGTTGGTAAATAGATATGGGAAATAACAGTTTTTGTGACGTTTTTGTTTATGTTTTCTATTGTAACACTTAAAACTGTACTTATGTTCAAAGATTGTTGAATGGAGATTATATCATTAAGCCTAAAACTAATTCTTTCATTTGCTGCTGTTCTGACAGACAAAATTGGGACAAATAAATGTAAAACCTAAAAAGCAAGGTAATCAAAGAAAATAAAGCACTGTTGAAATTTGTGCAACAGCTTTTGACATCAATTTCTACCCTGCCTTTCACTTTTAAAACGCATTTTATCTATTAAACAGGTTTTGCGTTGCAGGAATAAAGCTCATCTCACTGGAAATCGTGTATAAGTTCAAACCTCTTAATTCTTCCCCATTATTTTGACTGTGCTAATCTATAATCAATTCTCATTTTTAGTTTTGTTTTTATTTGGCTTGGTGGCACAAAAGATCTTTCCAATTCCAAATTATGAGTTGGAATATTAGTCGAAGCCGTTATGTTTGGACTACATTGCTCTCCGTTTCTGGCTGACAGCAGCAAGTCGGTTTCTTTCGTTTTCCTCCGTCTCGTGTTGCTGTTTTTTCTGTCAAAACAGTCCAGAATGGCTTTCCAGTGTCAGAGAGACTGCTATATGAAAGAGGTACGGTTCAGTTAAAAAGCATGCAGAAATACAACCCTTAGTGCTTTATCCTGCGGGAGTTGTTAGCATGGCTCCGGCCATGGCTCCAGCTGTCCCACCGCATTTCAGCTCAGCTCGCCTTGATTTGGTAAAGCCCCCGCGGAAAGTTCGGTTTTCATGAAGCTTTTATTTAGGTGCTATTATTTGCTCTATGATATGACTACCGGTGTCGTCTCTGGCCGTTTGAATGTAAGAGTTCCCCGAAAGCGTGGGGATGAAAGAAGCTCAAGATTATTTTCGATTCCGCTGCGACAGAGAAAAGGACTGAGGATATGTGTTAATAATGCCATATGTCTGTTTTCCAAAGTTATGTTGTAAGATTTTAATAAAAGACTATAAAGGAATTAGTGTTGTTACAAATAAAGCCAGAAGGGGGCGACAATAACACTAAAAGCATGCCGATTCTCGTAAAACTTGTAACAAAAAAAAAGAAGCAGATTGACTCCCCCTTTGCCATTTCCTTTTTCTGCCTTTTTTTTCTTTGCTCCAGATGCCAAACATTTAAATAAAGGATACATGGAAATAGTGATATTGTATGATAAAGATTTCATTGATCAGAAACTGAATAATAAAGAACATTTATTCTATTCTTCTGATATATAACATCAGAAGAATAGTCCGTTCCAGATTTCACCAGTGTGATATTTTCTCTTTTGAATTAGACCTAAACAGTAGAATTCTTTCTTTGACATTTTTATTAATAGCCGTTAAATCAGGAGCAGTGTTTTGTTGCAAACTGGATTGGATTCATTCCAGTTGTCACATACCAGTTCTAAATTAATTTCCTTTTGAGTGTGAAATAATTCACCTACGTGAGCAGTTTACACAGAGACACTAAACTTATCATTTCTTTGTTTTTGTTTCTTAGTTTGTTACCTCTGTTGTGTCCTGCTGCCCAGCCGAACTAAAACAAGAGGTAAATGGAAAGAAAGAAACTCTCAAAGGCTTCAACGTGAAGCTCCAAGACACCATCTTATTCCCTGAAGGAGGAGGTCAGGTAAGTCTCAGTCTGCTGTCTGGTGTCCACATCAGTGAGCCAGAACACACGTCATTTTTTTTGTGTAACTCCTTTCCAGCCAGATGACCACGGACTGATCGGAGAGGTCCCGGTTTTAAGGGTGACGAGACAGGGACCAGATGCTTTACACTTCGTGGCCTCTCCTCTGGAAGTGGGCCAGGAGGCGCGTTTAAAGGTGGACTGGGAGAGGAGGTTTGATCACATGCAGCAACACTCAGGTGGAAACAAGTCATTCCATTTCTATTTTCATCTGCAAATGCATTCTGTCACCACACGGTCATTGTTCTAAGCTAAGGGCTGCTTCCTGTTTGCCGTTCAGGTCAGCATTTGATCACGGCTTTGGCAGACACCATGTTTGGATACAAGACCACATCCTGGTACTTCACCGCACATTGGCACGTATTGTTTTCCCCGTTTCAGCGGAGACATCACCTCCTCTCCTCTTTGTGCTCCCTGCAGGGAACTGGGGCGCCAGCGGAGTGCCATCGAACTGGACACACCCAGTGTGAAGCCAGCGCAGCTCAAGGAGCTGGAAGACGCTGTCAATGAGAAGATCAGAGCTCAAGTTCCTGTTCATGTCCAACTTCTCTCCATCGATGACCCCGCAGTGGAAAAGGTTTTCATGCTTAGTGTGCACTTCCGTAGCTTAAACAGCTCCCTCAGGGTTTTCAGGGACTAATATATCCAGAGTTTCTCACACTGATCATCACATGTTGTTAGCCTATATTTCTTGGAGCTAAATTAGAAGAGCATGAGCTGTTACACTGTTTGGTTATTTGTGTCTGTGTACAAACCAGGTCAGGAGTCGGGGGCTGCCAGATGACCACGCAGGACCCATCCGGATCATTGATATAGAGGGTGTTGACGCCAACATGTGCTGCGGGACCCACGTGTCTAACCTCAGTCATTTGCAGGTACGGCTTTGCACCCAAATTCCGACAAAAATAACTTCAAGTCCTTTGTAGCAATAGCAGTAAATATAATAGTCATATGATTTTTTTTTCATAAGAGCGTGTCAGATTATTGAAAGGAAATGAGGCCAATGTTATGCTATGATTCTTTTAACTGAATTTTAGGTCATAAAGCTGCTCGGAACTGAAAAAGGAAAGAAAAACAAAACAAATCTCATCTTCTTGGCCGGAAACCGGGTCCTGAAGTACGCGGAGAAGAGCTACAGCACAGAGCGCTCGCTGGTCTCCCTTCTGAAGTAAGCTCAGAATACACGGAAATGCACAAGTTAAAGTCATTCCCAAAGCCAGTGGAGGGAAAAGAAAGTACCTGTCGTGTTTCCACAGGACAGGACCGGATGAACACGTTGAGGCTGTTGATAAGCTGCAGAAATCTGTGAAGCTTCTCCAGAAGGTGAGTGAACTGATTCATTTGTTTTTCCAAGGGGCGACTTAATGCTTCCCAACTCAGACTGAAACTGTCCTGTCCAGACTAACCTGAGCTTGCTTCGGGATATGGCCGTCCTCATTGCTCAGAACTTCAAGAGTGACCCTCAAAGGGGCAACTTCTTCAGCCTTCACAAGTAAGAACGTTTAGAAGAGCTGAGGCATCCAGACTTCATTTAAGGCAGACGATCAGTTTTGAAAATAGTTTTGTTTTTCTTCTCTTGCAGAAAGGAGGGGGATAATGAGTTCATGAACATCATTGCCAATGAAGTAAACACAGAGGTAAGTTAATCAACTGACTCCTGTTGCTATTAGTATGTAAATGCTTGTTTGAAACACAGTTTTACTCGCCCTTAGGAAACGTTGCTTTTCCTCACTGTTGGGGAGGAAAAGGGACCTGGCTTGTTTCTCCTGGCAGGACCAAGTGGGCTGGTGACCGAAATGGGGCCACGGTAAGAGACTCTGCCACACGCCAAACTTGTGTTACAGGAGTGTGACTGTATGTAAAATCCGTCTCGCTGTGCTCTCCAGTGTTTTAGAGTTGCTTCAAGGAAAGGGGGCGGGGAAGAACGGGCGTTTCCAAGGCAAAGCCAACAGCCTGGCACGGAGAGCGGAGGTAGAGGCTTTGCTGAGTCAGCACTGCAAACATCGCAGCTCTGAAGAAAAATAAACCCAGCAATTATCCAGTGGGAGAACATTTTATTTCCTGAGATGAAACAGCAAATCCAGATAATTACCTGTCAATTATTTGTTTTTGTTTTTTGTTAACTAAATGTGTTAAAGTGCACATAGAAATAATTTGATCTTTCAAAAAATGTAAATAGCTGATTCCTCCTGATTCTAAAGTTTATTTCTCTCATGAAACTGTTGTCTGTCTTGACTCTCTGACATTTACACACACACAATTCACACACACTGAAAATTGTGATACATTTCATTTGAAAAATCTGAAAAATATTATAGGGTTGGTTTTCTTTGTGTCCTCCAGCTTCCTCCCACCATCTAAATATGTATAGAGTATGTATGAAAATAGAGAATACAAAAAAAGAGACACTTTACTAAAACTTCTGATTGCGTTTTGGTCCCATTTTGTAGTCATACTTAATAGATGGAAACATTTAAAACTCATTGAAAATGGATACAACAGTCTCCTTGTGCACGCCATATTGGTTAAACCTGCAGTAAGCACAAATTTTACTTACTGACAGTGAAATGATTTTCAATGACAGCACACCTACTGCACATGATGTAATACAATCATAGGTAGTTTCTTTCAAGATTGCTGTATTAGATTAAATTGGAGTGTACATGTTTGAAGCATTCCATATGTGTTCGGAAAAAGGGTTAAACCCCAAATGTTAACAACTGTGCTGATATAATGTTATGTTGGTGCAAATCTGCAAACACCCATTCCCACCCATAATAAGAAATAACAAAAAAAAGTGGCACTACTCGGCTGCAGTTGAGTCATTTGAGTACTTGTTTTGTGCTGATTCAGCTGTTTCTCCATCCAAGGTTTAACTCAGTGGCTTCACAATCTTCATAGAGATGTAGTTCTGGAAAAGTTTAGAGATCACTCAAGTTACTGCTCCTCCCAATGTAGACAAAGTACTTAAAACATAAACAATATTGCCCACAGAGCTCTGGTCAATTTGCTTTCCCTCTGGTCATTTCTTACCGGTAAAGAGTACAACAGGATAGCGAGGAAGAGAACTACGATGATGAGGATGATGAGTCCAATGAAGAGGCACCTGAACTTTCTCCACACAATGAACTTCATGGTCTTGCATGGATTGGTGAACCAAAAGAAGGATGTTTCAGGGCGGCTGAGAGACAGAAACACTATTTGTCAGACTAGCTTGAGTTACATCTTTCTTATCTTTCGCTTAGAAAATTCTACAGCATGTTTGGGTCCGGTCATTTGACCGTAGTCTCTCACTTGGGAAGGTTCAGTTTTGGATTCATGTTGGGTTCATCCCTTCCTTTTCCTGCAGGCCTTTCCTCTGCATCTGCTTCACTGACAATTTCTAGCGTCATCTCCACTTTGCCCTGCAAACACAACATAAGACACAAGATTTAACAACTGTTTATTATACAGCTATGTGGTAAATAGATATACATTTCTATATTCTTTACAATATTCAATACAATTCTTGTGATGAAATATTGTTCAGTGATGCTTTCCTACTTCTCTGGAAACTGGGCTTATAAGAACAATCATACACTGGGAGAACTTTAAGTCCACTTACACCCAGGACCTTCTTCCCATCCTGTTCGAAATAGCATGGCCACCAGCCTCTGACTGACTGCTGGGAAAACAAAGACTTTGTTTTCTCCAGCTTGTCTGGCACTTCTATTTCCAAATCATCCATCATCTTCAGGGAGCACTTCTCTGGAGTTTTGGCAGGAGCAATCATCTTACGCAAGTCCAGCTCCAGTGTCCCTGGATCACAACACATTTAGATTTGTCATATCGATCTTTGAAAAATTACTTTAATACAAAATGGGCTTTCTTACCGAGGTAATCATCCAGAGAGAACTTGTCATTATCCCATATCTGAACTATCAGCTTGGGGGGAATCCTGAACTCTGTTTTGTCAAGATTCCAGAAGTGCTCCTGTCCATTGAAGAATCCACGGAAATGTGTTTCAAATTACTAATTCAAACACACCAGGCCTTTACTTACTGTTCAAATAATTCAGGAAGAAGCAAGCCTCACTTTTTTGGATACAAGACAGAGTTGTTCAGCTGGCAGGTAGTCAAATCCAAAGACAAACCGCCAGTTAAAGTTGCCATCTCCATCTAGAGACCTGTAGTGGACATCAGTCTTCTGCTTGTCCTCCTCCATTCCTGGCATCCAGCTGACACAAAACATGACAAAATAAGTCAATGTCCACTTTATTGTAGCTTTTTTGTTTCTTAATAGCCTCAATGCTAGAACTGCTAGAAAAGTAAGTTATTTTTCAAAGTATGTGGGGAAAAGATACCCTTTGACATAGATGTCACTCATGTCTTCTCCGGTGACGCTGGTCTCGTCCAAAGTCACATCCGTGGTGTTCCATATGACAGCACGAAGAAAATACCTGAATGTTTCAACATTGTGCGTGTTAGCACAGTGGTGTCTTGTACGATTTAACGTAGAGGACACGGCGCTCACTTCTTTGGCTTGCGTGGTGTGATGTCAAACGGAGGTCCGGGGAGCCCCAGGCTTTTAGGGAAAACATCCACCCACATCTGAAGCCGTCCCTTAATTGAGGAAAAACATCTCGGTTTCACAATACGGCTGGTTTTGGGTCAGCATGCATATAGGCAAGTGTGGTATGTGTGGTCAAACCTGGGAAAGATTTGGCTGGTAGCTGCTGTAAAGAGTCCTGGTCTCCACATGTTCTGGAACCAGTCCCTGTGTTCTGAGCACGTGCAGACAGAGTCGTTCGTGGGTTGGGCCCAAATGCTGATGGATTTCTTTGTTGTCCTCTTCATGTAAAAGCATGTTATACCTCAGTTATATCATATGTACATACAATATAAAATCCTTTAGGAACTTTTTAATACCAAAAACCAGTAAAAAAATGCATGCTTTTTGCGTAACAAACTCTTGAAACTATTACCAAACTGTGCCAGCGTGTAATCTTTTCCATTGAAGGTAAGTGAAGTGCCGTTGTCTTCAGTCCTGGGTTTGGAAAGTCCTTTAAGGCGAGCCAGGTTCTCAAGAATCTGAGAAGGCTTGAACTGTTCCCTCCACTGGTTGACTCCAGAACTTAGGTGAGACAAGCAGGAGTTAATCTTTTAGAAGATAAAGACTGTTTTGGAGCTTACACTGCTCTCAGGAGCCTCCTTACATGCAATAGGTTTGAGGTAGTCCACAGTACGAGTTATGTCGAGACAGGAAGCGGTTCTCCAGGTCGATCACTGTCTCCCCAACTTTCTCGTCACGGGTCAACAGATCAAAGTCATAGACTCCTATTTTAAGGTCCTTGTCCTGGGGCAGGAAACATGTCATCTCAAACATCCTAAACAACACAAGGGAGTGTTTGTAAATTGTTAAAGTACAATTTCCTGAATTTAGTTCAGGGTAATAATGGTTGACAAGATACTTCCAGCCATTTAAATCAGTTCTTTCCATTTACCTTCCAAAAGTGGGGTTTATGGTGTTGGGTAAGTAATTGTCCCTGTCTTCAATCGTATTTCCTCCTAATGATATCTTTATGTATGGATCACACTGATGGAAAGAAATTTGTTTAAGCCAAAAGTGCAGACTGAGCAGAGAATCTCAAAATATTTGTCTGGTATTATTGCTGGTAAAAGAGATTTTATCCTCACTCTGCCATTATTGTCTTTGGGTTGCAGATCTATTGCCCGGATCACATATATCCTGACAAGACACTCCTGAGGTCCACTCTCAGGCAGCTCTCTGAACTGGCGAGGGGGAGGAGAAACACCTGGATCATCTGACAGAGGGTACACCTTGAAAGCACCCTGCAGGTAGAAGCAGAAACTGTAATGAACTAAAGAAATAATACAATTTCACAAGTTTTCTGTAGTCCCTTCTCTGGCAGGTTACAGTTGACATGATCTGATCTAGCATTGGTGTTGAAAAATGAAGTCTAATCACCTTAAATTCGCCGACCACAGTCGGGTCATCATCTCCATTTTCATTCTTGCCGCGCTGCAGTTTGAAGGTGTTGCAGAAATCTGTCAGGCCTTTGAACTCTGGGACACTCTCCAATTCGCAGTCATAAACCTGAAAAATGCCACCCACATTCACATCATCTGCAGTTACAGAGGAGAAGCTTTTTTTCACTTCTTGACATGCAGCCTTGGTCAACAGAATCAGTAGTCAGCTTACTGTAAGGGTATCATATCCTTTCCTTAGGTAAGGGCCACATTTTTCTCGGTCTCCAACTGAAGCGTAAAATTTGCTCCACCAATCAACCGTTTCTTTTTCCTGGAAATAACATTGTATTGCACTTTATCATAACTTTTACATATTGATTGACATCTAAGTAGAGGTTTGTGTCTCCACATGAAATCTCACATTTCTTTATCTTACCTTCGCTGCATGCTTTGGGGAAGGGTGCGATGAGCCAAACAAACAAATAAACACAAAGAGTCAAAAATTCATAAACATACAACTGTGATGGCAATATTCAGAGGCATAAAAGAAGCGTCTAAAGTGTAAACGGTGTCAAATGTTGGCAGGACAGTGCAACTCTGCTGTGGTGAAGGAAAGGTCATAAAAGCGATCCCGCTGGCAATTTTCTATTCAAGGCAGCTCAGTAAAACAAGGGCGTAACAACAAGCCTTCTCTTTTTCACAGCAAAATGTTGTGGCTGGAGAGGAATGTGCATTAAATTTAGCAGTTATTGCGCATGCTCCTCTGCTAGCAAGGCCCTTTTCACACCTGGCATTGGCAGAGTATTTGATTCCAAGTAAACAGATTTCACATTCTAACATGAGTATCTTATCTATATAAACCCTCTAGAATGAAAAAGGATCGGAGGAGGGCTTTTTTTCCCCAACTCTTTTTTTTTTTTTTTTTTTTTACAAAACATCAAAGGCTGCTATGATTTCATCTCACAAAGAGATTTATTCTTTGGGCAGTGGGTACATCAGGCCGCAAAAAGCATTGACTAGAATCTAATGCCAAGTGTGAAAAATTCCAACATTTCCGCTGTGAAAAAGGCCAAAATTGCAGTTGCACCAAGGCATTATGAGGCTCTACGCGTACATTTGATTGCATCATAAAATGCTTGACTTTTTATTATTACAACTTTAGAGCAGAAGAAGCACAGGCACATCGTAAATGCAATCCTTCTGACACAGCAACTAGAGGTGCAATAAATGCACAAATTGATTTCAGATTTTCTATCAATTTCAAGATTGTGTTCAAAGATAAAACAGATTATTAATCTAGTTTCACTTCCTGCATATCATATTTAAAATCATACTGACAGACACATTGTGCTGATGAGTATTTAACAGCCAAATTGGTGTCAGGTCATTTGAATAGGTGTAAATGACCCATACATTGGTTACGCCCTCGCTGTGATCAAAATGATTAAACATGCTCAGCAAAAAGTAGTTCCAGCTGATTCAAGTGAAATCAGATATTGGGATGATTCTCCTTTGAATTAATCGTATGGTGACAACAGGGGTGCAGTGCCGTGGAATGAGTGCTTATTAGCCTTTAAAAGCCTTAATAAGTGATCATACATACAAAATAGGAAGATGGGGAAGCCATTTTGGTGACAGCAGTTGACATGCTGTATACAAACTGAAAGCCAGGATAATGCTGTTTGTCAAATTTGACTTGACAGTCAAATTGTGAACTTAAGAGAGTAGAGGCAACTTGACGTTCATTAATAGCAGTAGAAGGGGGTGGAGTTTACCTGAGCTTCCAACATCGTCCTTGTTTCTTCCATGGTAATGGAGACATCTTTGTAAGGTGAAGCCATCATCAGAGCCACTGTTAAAAAAAGAACATGTAAGAACAAGGAATACTTTCTCCTTCTCAAAGTAGAATTTGGAATAAGTAGATTTCCCTATTGGTGCTTACTTTTGGAGGCCCTGGCTCCTTCAGATTGGATGACATAAGGATCGCATCTGAACTCCTCCAAGGACGTGATGGTGCACTGACCTACGACAGGCTTCCTGCCAAAGGGACGGTGGTCGATCACTTTCAGAACAATGGGAGGTGTGTACATTTCATCTTTTGGGAGGAGCTAGATGAGGGGAGCAAGAAAAGTTACAAAAATCGTTATTTCGTCATTTCATTCAGAGGTTTTAGTCACACATCCATTTGGAGACACATTTATTACCACTTTAATGAAGAGGACAGAGCCGGGAAAGTTAGGGCTCTTCTTCATGTTCTTGATGACGGCTGACTCCACCCTCTGCCCTCCACACTCCACCACAAGGCTGGGTGAAGACACCGAGGCCAGCTGATATGACTTCATGTTCCTCAGACCCCATGCAAGGATCTAGAAACAAATACAAACACACACACATCAGAGGTGGTATCACAGACAGGACATCGGCTCAGAGGGTGGATGATGCAAACAGTTACATGTTACCTCCACAGCAGTCAGCTGCACCACAGGGCGGATGCCCTGAGGAACCATGTACAGGTTCTCTGCTCGCTTTGGGGGAATCAGCGGAAGATCTGAATCGCCAGACTACAGGGACAAGGAGAAACAATTTTTTCCACTTAAAGATAATTCTTATCACAAAAAAGAAGGGAGCGTGATCATGATGTCGCCTTTTCTCCATTCTAAAGAAATTAGGAGAAATGGTTCAACAAGAGATATGAATGAACACATCTACGCATTTCCACATGCTATACATGAATGACAGCCCAGTTGTAATAAAAACGTATCTAAGTAATGCATTACATAAGAGTACTCACTATACATGGTCAAAGGACTTCATCTAAGGAATATATAGACATAATGTTTCACATTCTCTAAATAGTCCATAATACATTGTATTCAATGCTTACTTTATCTTGGAGAATAAGCTCAGCAGCCACAAGTGCCTCCCCAGCCTTCTGTCCCCTCTGGATGATTGGGTGCCACAGCAGCCTGGGTGTCTGATTCATACCAGGATTTAACTTCACAACTGGAATGCAAACACTACGGCCAAGCATCTCGTCCTTTCCCTGTACAGAAGGTGGCATGCAAGTTTTCCAAGATTATGCATTTAATAGGTACAAAATAAATTTTTATTACAAAATTTGGATAGACGACAAGACAGGTAGCATGTTTACTCTGAACATTCCTGTAATTTTAGTGACTTGTACTTTCCACCACATCATTAGATGATATTTACAGACTTTCTGTTAATATTAAACTATTTAAGATGTATGGGGAAAAAAAGAATAAATGATAAATAAAATAAAGACAAGCAGGAGCATACATTTCTTTGTTATTACTGTATTAGCTAACATTTTTTTAAAAGATGAGTATTTTGCTATAAATGCTCTCTGCATATACATCATTCAGCATACCACTTGGTCACTGTCGTAGAACTCAAGCACCACATCAGGAGGGCAGTGAGCAATGTTCTGCGGGTCTCCATAAATCTCTACATCATTGAAAATGAGAGTCTGATCCCAAGTGGGGTTCAGCGTTGCTTTGAATTTTTCTGTTGTTTTACTGACATACAGGAAGGAGACGTGTGCATACGGATCTGTAATGCAAAAAAAGAAGTGTTTTAATGGAAAGATTTTACATTACTCATGCTGAATTCCAAAAATTGAAACACACAGTTATGTTTTTAACCAGAAGAAACTATCACACCAGAAAAACTGTCTTTGTCCATCGATGTCAGGTTCCTCGCCTGATAGATATAGACACGGAGGTGGTACATGAATGACCCTAAAGAGGGGGAAAAAATGTTCAAATGCAACAATAATTACACGTGTAATGCGTGTTGTTATATCTATGTTCTGACTCACTGTCAAAGGAACAGGACACAGTGGGTGTGTTAGCACCAAACAGCTTGGAGGCATCAGCTTTGGAGTCTTTTTCTTTTTCCCCTGTATCAACACCCTGCAGAACAAACCAGTTCAGAATCATATCTCTACATGTTCATGGTCACATGACTTCATGAAATAATAGGCAAATATTTGGAAGTATTTATTGAGCTCAGAGTCAGTTCCTGCTTCTTGGCTTCCTGTCCTCTCCAAGTTAAACAAAGGCTGCTTCCCTGCCTACATTCTGACTGCTCACAAACCAAAGTTGAGTTTCTCTCTTTGGAGGCAACTCAGATCAGTATCCGACAGAATCACTCATTTTCCTTTTACGTACCAACGCCCCCTCCAGCTTGAAGATGGCACATGCCCCCAGCCGATTTTCTGGTTCCATCTTACGCCTCCAGCGCCTTCGACGGAATGTATCTGATGAGCGTTCTTTTCTGTGGAATTTCCAGCCAATTAGAGAGGATAATTCCCAGCCTTCAGGGTCACCTTGATCACGCCTCTGTGTGTAAAAACAAAATTCAAGCTGATTATTTAAGCTTTATAAAGATTGAGTCAAAATGACTGGTTTTACTGTTTAAGTTTTTTCAAAAGATCCCTTTTTTGTTTTTTAAGGATCCAAACATGTCTAGTACTCTAATTAGTACTAGTACTTTAATTTGACAAAACAAGTTTTAGTTTGAGGATTACAAACTAAGCATGTTGAGCTTGAAAATGATTTTTTACATGTTAGGGAGCATCCACTCCATTCCATTTTCTATATGTTTATACCGCAACGGGGTAGCGAGGAGGCTGGAGCCCATCCCGGCTGACAACAGGCAAGAGTTGGGAAGTTAGGGAGCATATTGAGTAATTCTGTTTGCAGCACTAGGTTTAGCAAATGCCTCCTGGGCACAGGCAGTGGTGACTGTGGGCATAGAGAAGTGTGTAACCAGTCTTACTACACAAATCACTGGCCTTCAGGTTGTACAAAGAAAGCAAACTTTTCTTGGCCGAAAGTAACTGAATATATTCACCTGCTACCATGAGGAATAATGTCTAGCTATGTCAGGATAATGATGAATTTACCCATTACCATCAACAGATTCCTTAAGAAATGAGATAATACCAAATCTAACCACAATATATTATTGTATATCCCTTTTCAATATCTATATCTCTTGGCCTCTGGAACATTGCAGTCTGTTTTAATACACAAAGAAGGAAAATCATTTTTGATCTGACCTCCACTGCTGCTCCAGCAGGGAGTGCAGTTCTCTTGCGGGGTCGAACCAGCCTCCTCCTGCGGTGGACATGGTACACCTTCTCCGCAGGGACCCAGGAGCGAGGCTTGTCCTCTGGGGGAATGGTCACCCCATACTCCCATCCTTTAGTGTACACAGAGACACACACAATGGTCTTCAGTTTTATCAAGTCTTCACTATAAAACTCAACACATTTTGGTTATTTTGTGATGTTAATGAACTACTCTCACTTTCAGGTCAACAGTTTAAAAGAAGGGAATAAAAACTTTCAGCTGAATGTTTTGCACCTTGATCATCTACAGCTCTGTTATCATCAACAGTCCAGCTGTCCTCCAACATCCAACCAGGGGGACAGTCAAAGTCTCCTGGACTTGGGCTTTTCTCTCCATTCTGTATGATTAAAAAAAACAGTTAATACAAACTCAGAAAATTTTGTAATCCATCATCCATTATAATGTCGGTAAAATTATCATCAGGAAGAGTCACTGAGAACCTAAAAAAGAGAGTGTGTAGAGGGTGGGTTTAGTTACTACTAGATACAGTGAAATGAATGTGTATCTTATGTGATTGTCAAATAGAGCAGATTGCATTTGCATTTCATTTGCAGACGTACTGCTGATAATTTGAATGCTATTTTGCTCATCTCACCACATCCGTGTACGGCTCTGAGGCAGCGTTCCATTCTCCACCAGGGAAGCGGGTTTCATTCTGGAAAACCTCATCCAAGAATTCAGTGTGTCCTGCATCGGCCTCGGTTAGCAGGCTGAAACAGAGTTATACATGGATAGCATCTGTATGTCTAGTAACACAAAATGAAACTTTTTGAAGAAGCTTCAACAGAATGTTGGTGCCCTTATTACAGTAGAACTAAAATGCACATTACAGCAGCACAGTCAGTTTAGTTACACTGCATTACAGAAGAGGAGTTATCTGCTCATTCTGTTCAGGACCAACAGCAAACAGTGGAACTCATCCAACCCAGTGTAATCATATAAACTGCCATTTCCCTTACTGACAAGTATGGTGTACTATAGGTTCTGCTTGGAACAGTTATTAAATAATCATGTTGGCACAAAATCCAAGCAGTGTGTGAAACTGGAGTGAAAATAATGATTGCTCTTGAGATGGAGGAGGTAGATTAAGGTGTAAACAGGAAACTGTAAATCCTCTCTTACTGGCACAGCCTGGTACTATCAGTAAATCTAGGTTTACTGGATGAAAGGAATGTAAACAAAAAAAAAAGCAGCTTTAGGTCATTTCTAGTTCACAGATGTGCATTTAATGGAAAGAAAGAAGAAACGCAAATAGTACAGTATTGTCTTCCAGCGGAAGAAGGACACCATATTATCATTTATCATCATACTCACGCTTTTTCTGGATCAATGAACCAGTCAGACTCCCACTGCCATCCCCTGGGTGGAACGAAGTACTCTTGTTTCAGCTTCAGTTTGCCCGTTACATCTGAGAATTTATGACGTCCAACCAGTCCTGTGGTCCCCCACTTCCCAAAGACTTGGGCCTGGTTTTCATACTGTAATGCAGCACAAGAGGTATTCATTTCCATGCATGTTTACCAGAAATGACAACGTAGCACTCATTTAACTATCTGAAGTTTGAAAAATGTCTAAAAACATATCCCGCGACAGATTTCTGAATGCAGGCTAGTTGGCCAAAGGTTTTCCCGCCTTGCAAAAGGCTCGTAAAGCTTTGACTAAGTCTCTGTAGTGACGTACCAGCTCAGCAAACACGCTGAATGTTCCCTCAGAGAATGAGTTGAACTTTTTTTCATGTGCCGACAGACCCAGCCACATGTTGACTCTAATCTGAACTGGCATTTTCAATCCTTTGGTCTTGTCCATTGGGTACTGCAGGGATAAAAATAATCAAGAAAGCCACAGAAACATTGGGATCCAGCAGTATCACCATCAATGTACCTGTAAAAAACGCATACCTGTAAAAAGATGGTCTGGGTCTTGCCACAATGTCGTCCACAGGCCTGCTCGCTGTACGTGGAATACATGATTTGGTGAGCTGGAATGCGACAGTAGGCCACTCTCTTCTCACCCCGCAGCATCCAAATGATCACATCAGGCATGCTGTTTTGGGGCTGGAAATGGTGAAAGTAACACAAAGCAAATCGATTAGTCACTATATCTCCAAAATTGGGGAAACTTTGTAAGCAGGGCAGCTTCCAAGTTGCAAAGATTTAAAAAATATCATTTTCTGTGCAACAGAAGAAACCTGTCATCAATATTTCCCTACTTGTTTGTGGGAGCACATCCAGTTTTACATAATTCAAATCCTGCTTCTGTGCAGAACAAAGTTATTTTGGTGGTATAAAAGGCAGCCTGCTGCACATTGTTTCAATCTCTCAGATGACCCCACAAGGATATAGAAATATTAAGGTCCAGCCTATGGGGAGAATTCATGCCTGCACAAGACGAGCTGCCCCTGGTTTTATATGTAGAATCTGCAACTTATGGACGTTAAAATGACATACATATGCCAAGTTATTTCAAAATACATCAAATGTATTATATTGCATGTTTGTCCAACTATTTTAAGTTAGTCTCTTTTCATACATGCAAAGAAAA